AAAAAAAAAAAAAAAAAAAAAAAAAAAAAAAAAAAAAAAATCAAATGATCATTCTAAGAAGACAAAAGAATATTTACTAATGTTCAAAATCCATCCTATTTAAATCAAAACAAGACAACCTCTAAAACAGAGTGAAACATCTCAACACATAAAAGTATCTTTGTCAAGCTAATAACTCTAAACCTGTTTCCTTTATAGTCTAGAATAAAAAAGGAATGCCAGAACTATCTAAAGTTACTTTATATTGCTTATGAATACTACCTAATACAATTAAATAACTGGAGATTGTTCTAGCATTCCTGTCATAGTATAGACCGTAACAGGAGCTGTTCTAGAGTTACCAGTTTGGCATGGGTATTGTTTATGTGTTAAACAATATTTAGATACTGTGAGTTGCCACATGTGCATGGCTCCAGCTACAACAGAACAAGGTGATGCTCTCTGCCTTCTTGTTGTAGCTCTCATACTGTAAATAGAGTAATATTTAGATAGATATTTTTCTTTTGTTTTGTTTTAATACCTATGGATAGGTCCCAAAGTTCCCTGTAATTTTCACCTAATCTTCATGCAAATAGGATTCTGAGAGCCTGTCCTAAAGAGCCAGCACGACTTCTAAGTGTATAGGATAGCATTGCTTCCAGTATGCGTTGAGATTCTTGCCATATGGGAAGTAATCCAAGAAGCAACTTTATATTGTCTATCTCCAGGATGGAATTGGCAGTAGCAGCCACCATCTTTTGGTCAAGCTGAATGTGGCACTGACTGAACAATGGCCAAGTGCGATGGCTGCCAAGGGAAAGCTATGGTCCGACCCCAACTCACTGTTCCAGCAAAGTAGACATTTGAGGACTTAGAATCTTAGGGGTTCTACTGAGTGTTCGATTCAATGATTTTTCTATTTTAATTGATATTGTTATCCACATTCCTTAATCTGTAGTGTAATGGGACAAAAATTATTGGGGGTAAGGATTCCTGCCCATAAGAGTCATAGATTTCTCACTGAAATCATGATTGTAGTCTTTCTTTGTTTCTGTTTTATTTTTTATCATGATGAAAATTATTCAGTTTTCAAACTCATAGAATGAATAGGAACATACTTGTAACTTGTGATTTACTAAAACGTTATCAGGATTTTAACAGCTACAATTTTTTCCTTCTCTGGGATTTTGAGACTTTACATTTGGACGTGGGGCAGGTGAGTTCTATGCTGTACATGCCCCGGCCCTTGTCTCTTGATGCCACATCTTTGCTTTTGGTGGTTTCTTCTTTCCTCCAGGCTGATAAGGCCTGAGGGTATAGTTTGCAATTCTAAGACTTTCTAGAGATTCAAAGATGAAAGAAATACAATCCCAATTTGGAAGAAAATTAGCAGCCAGCTCTAAAAATTTAAGAATAAAAGAATAAAGTAGATAGAATGAGGAAGGAAGGAAGGAAGGAAGGAAGCAAGGAAGGAAGCAAGGAAGGGAGGAAAAGAAAGAAAAAAATTGTTTCATGAGAAGAGAAGAGAGAGGAGGGGAGACACCATTCTGTTGGTAATATTGAGAAATGATAATTACTTTTTTAGATTCATCTATACCACCCTCACATTTATTTCAAAAGTACAAGTATTTTAAAGAGTTTTAAGAAAAGAGAAAGTCTTACTCTGCCAAGCACACACGCTACTGTATTTCCTTCACAACAGATCTGATGCAGATTTTTAATATCCATGGCCAGTTTGGCAATTTCAGAAAAGTTAGCTTTAGGTTGTTTTTTAGTCAACAGAACCAATTCCCTGAAAAAAAAAAAAAAAGTACATTTTAAACAGTTTTTTGAATTCAATTCTTTCTAAAATTAGTTGTAGTTCATTGAGTAACCAAAAGAATAGAAACACAGTTGCAAATGTAGGATGAAGACAGTTGTATATTGTAAGTGTTTTCTATTTCTACAGTGATAGAACCCAGAGCCATACAAAGATGTAAATCACAAAATGAAAATTATTCAATTCATAATCGCGTAAATACAGTCATTTTCATCATTCAAATTATTGCTTAAAGTAGTTGAGTTGCTTAGATAGGTAATTTGGGAATTTATCTGACCTGACTTTCCAAATAAAATTATTTATCAGAAAGATAATAATTGTAAGAGGTTTGGTTCTCCCTTGTCCCTCTCTGTTGACAACTGAAAAACATCCCTGAAATTTTTCTAGAAATATGAAAAATGGGGCCTTATAAGGATAACTGAGCTTCCAGGCAGCCCACTGTTACCCTAAATTGGGGATGAAGGTGATATAAGGGAAGATGCATGTCTTCAGGGGTAAACTTGGGACAGAAACACAATCTGGGCCCAAGATAGAGGCACACTGAGTAGCATCAAATTCTCCTCCCACCCCACACTCCTCTATCCCCACCCCAAAAAACACCACTCACTTTTTCTGTCCTACATGACGTTAGAGCCAAAATATTTCTTATCTTCCAAGAGAAAAATACCTTTTGTCCTCCAGCCTTTACCATGAAGAACTACTAAGCGTGAGCATCTGAATGTACAGAATCTTTTGTGCACTGGAGAAGAGCCTAAGGGATTTGAGCTGATGGAAGAAGTTGATAGAGGAGATATCAACCCCACAGGAGATAGTGGGTAGAGAGGAGGACTGTGCAGTTTCAGGCACAGCCCAGTGTGCCCTATTGAACAGGCAAACAGCACACGTGTAGAGAAAGGAACCAGATTTGCACTGAGACATTAGCAAATGAAAGATAAATGATTTTTCAAATGAGTTTAATCAAAGAGGGTGATCCAAAGCAACAAAGTCCACAAATCTAAATAGGAAACTTACACTGCTTTCGCTACTTTGTGGTTGAATTTAATCCCAATCTCACATAAGTGGTGATGCCTCGAAGATATTTCTCTAACGTATTTTCTGATGGGTTCTAGCTGTAATTAGAAAACCGACTCATCAAAGAACTGTGGTAACAACAGAAGAAGTTTATCTTATGGTTAGTAAAGAAGAGAGAAAAATAAAAATCATGTATCTCCTCAAAATTAGAAAGTTTTTATTGTCTTACCTATGAGGCTAAATGTAAAAGCATAATTTGGTGAAGTTTCTGTTTTTTTGTTTTTTTGGTTTTTATAAAATAGCATCTCACTTCCCCAGACATTGTTTGTCCCAGAACTTAGACATTTGGCATATAAATGAGAACAAGAAAGTGAACAAACAAAAATCCAGAGAGCCACTAGAATAAATTTTGATAACGTCTTACAGTTGTATTTTGGTTTTATTCAAGTTACTAGCCCTGTCATCTTAAACATGTCTCCAAATGCTTATCTATGATATATGCTCCAGTTTTGCAATATATATTAATGGAAACCCCCCCAGAAAATGTTCATATTCTTTAACCCAGAATTTTGACTTTTGACTTCTAATAAAAAGCACATGTATTTAGGTCTCTAACCGAAACTATATATTCAATTTGATCACAACAATGTACAAAATACAACCTGTGAATGAAAAAAATGAATGAAAGGAAATATACCAAAATTGGTATCTCTGTGTGGTGGGAGAATAAACAACATTTTAAAATTTCAGAAGAGCTCTATATATTCACTTAAAACATTATATTGACCATATATTATTTTAACTTGGGGTAACAGCACCTTACAATGCTTTTTTTTAAGAACAAGTTAGATAATGTATACAGAGGCAATATTCAAACCACAAATCTGGCACAACGGTAATAAATTATGCTTTATAATTAATTATAAATATAATTATTATTTTATTCTTATTTTGTTGTATTATACTCATTTGAAATCAAATACAAACAAGCTTATCCACTTCTTCACAAGAGAGTCTGTGAAGGCTTAACTCATAAACCACATTCTCTGATCATAGATACAACTTTTACATGATTGGCTATGCAATTTTCTCTGGGCAAGGAGTAATAACTTCTTGGAACAGACATCCTGGAGGCAGCAAGACTGTAAACATCACAAAGTGAGGGAGAGGAGAAAAGAACTCTTAGATAACTTAAAAGCATCTGCTTATGCTTAGTATGTGGATGGACCTAGAGATTGTCATACTGAGTGAAATAAGTCAGAGAAAGACAAATATCATATGATATTGCTTATATGTGGAATCTAAAAAAAATAGTACAAATGAACTTATTTATAAAACAGACATAGAGTCACAGATTTAGAAAATAAACTTATGGTTACCAGGGGGAAATCGGGGTTGGGGGGGTAGGGATAAATAGGGAGATTGGGATTGACATATACACACTACTATATAAAAAATCGATAACTGAGAAGAGCCTACTGTATAGCACAAGGAACTCAATACTCTGCAATGACCTATATGGGAAAAGAATCTAAACATGGGTGGATATATGTATAACTGATTCACTTTGTTGTGCAGCAGAAACTAACACAACATTGTAAGTCGACTATACTCCAATAAAAATTTTTTTTTAAATTATAGGGTCATGTTATACATTAAGGAAAAATTTCCTCTGAAAGGGTTAAGACTAAGAAAACTTTGAAACAAGTTACCTAAAAAAAACTAACCTTCATGAAAAAGTTCATTCTTCCAAAATGCCAGGTAATGAGACCTAAGTCTACACAATCACTTGTTTTTGTTGTTTTTAATAATATGAAGCCAACAGGAGAAAACAATGATTGTCCTGCTTAGGAATTCAGAATTGGCTTCTGAAGGAATTGGAGATGACTAGGGAAATAAATATATATAAGTAGCTTTAATGATAATAGCTACAATTATTGAGTACTTAGCATATGTCAGACTCTTTAGAAACATTATTTAATTTCTTACACAAGGTAGATGATGAGGAGCTCAATAGGAGAAATAGCTTTAGAGGAATAGAGAAATAGGGGTTGAGAGGAATATGAGAGAAATTCTCACGGAGATCAAAGAAAACAGCAAGGAAGAAGCGGCACTGCCCTGAGACTTGAGGAATTCATCAAAACGATTATCAAACTACTATTCATTTCAGCATGACCTTGGGAAAATCCGTCTGGTGTGCCTTCTAAAGATGGTTATTTTGTGTTGATATTTAGAACTTTTAATGAACATACATAAAAAGTACTTTTATCATGGAACTAATCACAGATTTATGTCTATTAAATGAAGGAGAAAAAGCCACACAGTTAAAATTAAGTGTGAGACTAACTGTATTTTCCAAAGATGGCTATAATAACAACTTCTATCCCATGTTCTTCTTACAATGAGCTTTTGTTACAGTATATTTACTTTCCCCTTCAAACTGGTGAGATTTTATGATATTTCAACTAATAGAGTACAGCAGAAGTAACTTTTGAATCCTGGTCATAAAAGGCCATACAATTTCTGCTTCATCCACTAGAAAACTCATTCTTGAGACTTTGGCCATATATCAGCAGTCCAGTTTCCCTGAGGCTGCCATTCTGTGAAGCAGCCCAAAACAGCCAAGGCAGAGAGACCACATGGAAAGGCCCTGAGATAACATGAGGAGAAAGAGATGTTGGACCAACCCCCAGGTACTACAGACCTTCAGAGCCCCAGCCATTGACTGCAACCCCATGAAAAATCAGTAGCCAGAAAAGCCCAGATGAGCCCTTCCTGACTTCCTGACCCACTGAAACCATAAGAGTAATAAACTAATTGTTATTGTTTTGAGCCACTAAATTTTGGGGTGTTTTGTTACACAGAAATAATAACTGGAATATTAAATATTTATTATGAAGTTATATTTATGCTAGATCATGCTTCTCAAAATTTAAGGACTATATGAATTGCCTGAGTATCTTGTTAAAATGAAGTCTTCTTTAGCAGGTCTGGAGAAAAGCTTCAGACTGTATTTCTAACAAGCTGCCAGGTGATGCATATGCTGCTGGTCCATAGTCCACACTTAGCATAACAAGTCCCTAAGTAAGGGTTGACATAGGAATAGTTTACCTTTATCTGGAAGCATTCAGTCTTATTTTCTTCTCGGCAACAAGACTGAACAGCTGTTTCATAGCAAGCAGACATGGTCAGAATAGTGGGTCCATACAAGAATGGATGCTTCCTAGAAGTTTCATAAATGTACCTGTAATTTGACAAATACAAAGCTATATAATTTGGAATTCAAGAACATATGCTGACAGTGTTTCTTAAAAACTTAGGATTCATTTAGTTTTGTTGACCTGAAACTTCTAGAATTTCATGGTGACAGAAATAGGATAGCACTGTACTTAAATGCATCAAAAGTTCACTACAGAGAGATCACTGTGAGGTTAGACAGTGCCCATGAAGTCACCAACTGTACTTTCTGGACCAGTAGGTAAAGAAAATCAGTAATTAAAACTTTTCATTTTTATATAAGTAGTAGGAGATAGAAAGTTCAATAGTCTAAACTGATTGTAAATGGAGGATTGTACACCTGGTGAAGGGGAGTTAAATTTAGAAGCTATTGGTGGATGTTTACACTCATTATAGAGCCTGGGCACCAGGCCTGCCTTTCACTTATAATCATATCTCCTCACACTATTCTACAAAGCTTATTCAAATTATTTACTTCCCACCTCCCCACACACACAAATACCCCGAAAAAGTTGACATTGCAGACAAAAACTGGCTCAGTGCTCACACAAATCCACTTTCTTTTCTTGTGTTCACAGGAAGACTACTTTTCCAGCCTCTCCTGCAGTTAGATGGGAACATATAACTGAGTTCTAATCAATGAAATATGAATAAACATGCCATACACCACTCCTAGGTTTGGCTATTAATTACTTTGCACAGTTCCCTAGTCTCTCTCTTTCTTTTTTGCAGTAACCTTGGAAACACATGCTCTAGATGGTATAGCTCCAAGATGGAAGGATCTTGCATTCCTGAGTTACCCCTTGGAAGAGTTCCAGAGTAGCCAATGAAGACAAAAAGGCAAAATGAAAGTAGAGTTAAGGCTTTAATCATTTACTAGGATAGTATAAGCAAAAGGCTAAACTAGAGAAAATGCTGACCCCCACTCAACCTCCACCCTCACCCCCCTTACTCTTGGTAGTTCAGTCAATAGATTTGTTTCATTTCAGCAAAGTTTCTCAAGCCCAACTTGTAAAAAGAGAAAAGCAGAATTGACATTATCAAGATAAAACTGCCACCCAAGATAAGGCAAAATTCTTGGTTGATAGGAAATTTCACTGGAGCCATTCATTCAATATCTCTGCTCTCTGTTGGGTACTATGCTAAACTAAGAGTTCATTTTTGTGCTGCAGTAACTTAGTTCCTATAGAGGATTTTCAGTATGAACGAATCTAATTTCAAATCTCCAAAGGCAAAGCTGAACTTAGTATAAGGAAAAAGCTTTCTAATAATTAGAGCCATTTAAAAATAGAATGTCCCGGGCTTCCCCGGTGGCGCAGTGGTTGAGAGTCCGCCTGCCGATGCAGGGGACGCGGGTTCGTGCCCCGGTCCGGGAAGATCCCACATGCCGTGGAGCGGCTGGGCCCGTGAGCCATGGCCTCTGAGCCTGCACGTCCGGAGCCTGTGCTCCGCAAGGGGAGAAGCCACAACAGTGAGAGGCCCGCGTACTGCAATAAATAAATAAATAAATAAAAACTGCCACCCAAGATAAGGCAAAATTCTTGGTTGATAGGAAATTTCACTGGAGCCATTCATTCAATATCTCTGCTCTCTGTTGGGTACTATGCTAAACTAAGAGTTCATTTTTGTGCTGCAGTAACTTAGTTCCTATAGAGGATTTTCAGTATGAACGAATCTAATTTCAAATCTCCAAAGGCAAAGCTGAACTTAGTATAAGGAAAAAGCTTTCTAATAATTAGAGCCATTTAAAAATAGAATGTCCCGGGCTTCCCCGGTGGCGCAGTGGTTGAGAGTCCGCCTGCCGATGCAGGGGACGCGGGTTCGTGCCCCGGTCCGGGAAGATCCCACATGCCGTGGAGCGGCTGGGCCCGTGAGCCATGGCCTCTGAGCCTGCACGTCCGGAGCCTGTGCTCCGCAAGGGGAGAAGCCACAACAGTGAGAGGCCCGCGTACCGAAAAAAAATAAAATAATTAAAATTAAAATTAAAAAAATAAAAAAATAAAAATAGAGTGTCCCTATTGCAAGGTAACAAAGGGTCACACTTATCTTACAATGATCAAAACTGTTATTGAAAATTCCTTAGATAATCCAAAGATACAATAACTACAGTTTGGTGTATCTGTATTCTATGCTATCTTTTGATAAGACTGAAATAGCAGACTTTTCCTCTAGCTTTGATATGTTACTGTTTCTTTGGTTGAGAACTAAACAAAGTTGTTGACATAATTATGAAGCAAGTAGTTAGAAAATTATTTTTCCCTGAATATTTACGGTTGTATGCACATAAGTTAAATTAGCATATAAAATAACTCCTTGATACTGACTTAATTGTAAATGTTCAAGAAGAGATTAGATTCACTGCCTGAGTATTGGTTAGATTTCATAATCTCTGAATGTTCAAACCTGATTTTATAATGCCCGAACCTGATTTTATAAATCTCACCTAGAGTGGCTAGCACTTAATAGGTAGCCAAGTTCATATTACAGTTTCCCATTTGGTTGCCCCTAATGTCAGACCAGTTGGAACCGGCCCAATCCCTTATCCCTTAGTCCTTTCTCCCTAAGTGACTGGGGCCATTTAATTCCTTCCTGAAGGCTCAGTAATTTCTGGGGCAATTCTGCCCATGTATAGGTGAATTAAAAGTGTTTACGTTGTTCAACATCAAGTCACCCTGTCTGCTCATTCATTTCTGGTTTAGAGTTTCATGTCTAAAATCTGAAATCAAACCACCACCATGCCTTTTGCACTAGATCCAGCAATCAGGTCTTTCCCTTATTCCTAGTGTCTGAGTCTGTCTTGACCAGATAGCCAGAACTGCATTCCTTGAGAACTGGAGCTTTGTCCTTCTCTTGTCATTTCTACCTCTCTCTGGTTTTGGTTTCCTGCCTCTAACTTGCTCGTACCTCACTCTCAAAAGATAGACTTCTGTGCTAACTAGGAAACCAAAATATGAGCTCACCTACCCATGGGCTATCATGCCACCCACTCCAGGTGGAAATTACAGAATCAGAGTTCTCGAGTAGAAAACTCATCTCTGTCCGACCCACAATTATTACTTATTCCTAGGTTCCCAATGACAGACTCTATCTCCATGCCTATCAGATACCCCTCCTGCTATCCCTTGGTGAACCTCCCAAATACTAGCCCATTGCCTGAGCTATTACCTGCTCTCTATTCCCAATACTCTGTTTATTGTGCTTTGCCTACTAGACTGTATTTTCAACACCATTTGCTACTGGTCTGACCAACCTAACCTTTGAGGAGATGGGTCTTTTACAGATCCTAGTCCTTTTTAATGTTTCATGGTGCAGACATTTTCATGCCCTCTTGGGTTTACTAAGACCATGTTGTCATTGTGAGGGAAAAAAATAAATTGTAGCTCAAATTTTCACTTTAATTTTATATAATCAAGATTTGTGTACTCAGAGGCTTTTATATTAAAACAAAAGATCTGTCTTCAAAATTGGAAAATACTCTTTTTCAAAGACCTGGCAAGGAAATACGACTTACTTCTCTTTCACTGGCACATGATTCTCTTTGTCCATCTCACAGATCTGCTCAGGATCTGAAATTTGGAATATATCACTGTAACCTGCAACATCCTTTTTGTATGATAGGAAGCACTTGTGTCTTGCTGAGTTATTTGTATTGCAACAGTCAGAAAACACATGTCTGTCAGCCAACCCTTGGTTATTGCAAATATGCTCTAGGAAGGTAGTCATCTGTAGGAGGAAATAGTAACTTAAGGGAAGGCACTTGTGGTCTACATTTTTAACCACAGGAAAGTTAAGGAATTATATAGAAAAGGCAACTGAGTGCAACTGAGTGCTTAATGTTATACTCTGTATCCAATAGTCCCTGGACATAGCTCTTTTGAGTGAAAGCCTTTTAAAAGGTTCTTAAGTCTAAATTCCCACATGCTGGACATTGGCCAAATAGAATTTATTATTTTCTCCCTACCTATGTAAGTGCTTCATTTTCATACAGTTGAAGGTATTAAAATAAAGGTAAGCCAAAATGTCCAGGACCTAAAGAAATCAAGGTATTTTTAATAAGAATTACCCACCAAGAAACAGCTGTTAGTTTGCTTTCCTTGCTTCCTGATTGTTTTTAGTTGGTTTCCATGGGAACTTATTTTAAAAGTTAAACTCTGAGGCAATGTGTATTCAGTGTCAAATATTCAAATAGAAATGTAATGATTCAGTTTTCAAGTATCTTTGAATGGCAGTAAATGTGTGGGATGCTGTAAACCTCAAATGACATATGCTTCCAGATTTGTGGGATAAGGGCAGAAAAAGGTGATCTTTGGAAATGGAAATAAGAAGAAATCGATATAAAATAAGTGAGGCTAGCCACTGGCAAAGGAACTTCATTTAAAGTGTGTCTCTAATTAGACTAATGATTTTTCTATGACTACTTAGAGTCTGGTAAAAAAAAAAAAAAAAAAAGGTATGTTTTAGCCCAAGAAGATGGAGTGAAAAAAATCTATAAATAAAAAAGAAAATTATTTATTTGTATTTAAATTGTTGATACGAGAATAACTGATCCAAAAATATGTAGATTATAAGAATATGTTAGTTTTTATCAAGAATTTTTCTAATCACAAGATAGACATATTTTATGAGATGATAGTAATTTTCAAGATTTTCTACTAAGTGGGAAAAAGCCTATAGTAATATTCACTTTTTTCTTCTTTCTTATATTCTCTTAGAAACTTTTAAAATCAGTACGTTAATTTACCAGAAACCTTTATATGAGGATGTCAGACAATAATATTCTAGTGACAGAGACAGAGCAACCGACTTAAATTAACTAATTGGCATTCTAGGGTATAATTCATTCTCTTGAGCATTTAGTTCTCAGAGTCTGATCTCCCAGATACGAAATGATAAAATGTAAGTTTGTAAACCTACAAAGATTATATCTTGAGTGTGACACATGTATATATTGTTGCCTTAAAATCCCTTGCCTAATTATTCAGTCATCCCACTTCATAACAACCATTTTTGTTTGCAATTTAGTTTTTAAAACAACAGAGAGAAAAAGGCAGAACATGATTCACCTACCAATTGGTGACAACATTCTGAAGGTGATTCATGTGGCTTGAGGCTCTTGCACTTCTCTGCAAGATCTAGCAATTCTTTAACTATGGTTTGTACTTTTTCATAAGTCAATTTCTGAAGAAACTGTGCAACCATAATACTAGTGCTGAAACAGAACACTTGTGTGAATGCTGAAGATAGAATCAAACTCTTTTCCTCCATCAATCTTGTTATATTACTCCCCCCCCAAAATAATTAATATGATTTTACATTTCAAACAAAAGAATACTGAAAATAAAACTCACACAGCTCTTAAGTTCTCCTCTAGATAATTCTGGCTATTAGAGTGCTGCATGGCTGTAAAAAAATGAGATTTTATTTACAGAAGAGGAAATTTTCCAAACTGAAATTCCCTTTGACAATTCAAATCTATATTTATTCATTCATAAATTTCCAGATTTATTTTTGTTTACATCATAAACCAGAACAAATTATAAGAATATATCTTTTCTTTTATTTAAACTGTATTCTGTGAATGATTTCTTTCTAGTCAAACACATCATGTAGTTGAACCGTCATTGACTTACAAATAAGTTGCACATACCTGTATTGATACTTCTGAATTGATTAAACTTGACTCTTTGGTTATCTCTTATTAGAAGTTACTAGCACACGCAAAGAACACTAAGAAAATTAAAGCCTGGCATTAGGAACAAAAGTATAAACGTTAACACTTTGCCAGGCTTAATTTGGCAAAGACAGTAACTCATACATCTTGGATTCGCTTATAATCTTCATCATCTCCACTCACCACATACACATACACATGCTCTCTATTGAAAACAGTGTCTTCCTTCTAATAGCAATAGCTTCAAAAGAGCTTAGCAGCTATCTATTTAATAAAGAAACCATTATTATTTACATATTAACAAGTAAAGGCTTTGGAGATACTTATTCTGAGTTCAGCTTCTAGCTCTGATACTCAATATGGCCTTGAGGAAATAACTTAAGCACTCAGAGGTTCTGTTTCTCTATCAAATGTAAATAACTTCTACTACATTGGGTGGTTGTTAGGATTAAATGAAAGCCTATGTGTGAAGCATTGAGCACAGTGCCTGGCACATAGTAGGTACTGAATAACGTAGCTCATGGGATTATTCTTGCTACTATAAACACTACTGCTCTATCTAAAATCATTTATCCAATTTTAAATACAAGTTTGAAATATGTCATTCTCTGACCTAGAGTGGAAGTAAGGTGGAAAATGGAAAATGAGATCTTCCTGTGTGGGTTGCTTCAATACATCAATTCTCTTTCTGTATCTATTCCACAGGTTAATTTCTAGCAATCTTCAATGACTCTACTGACAGTGATGAGCACTGAGAAAGATAGCCTTTCCATGTATATGTTAATAGTCATTATGTTTCATCTCCTGGCACATGGGTGTATAGATTGTAAATAGGATTCCCTACCTGCATCTAGTAAACTTCTCTGAAGAGTCTGACATTTAATGTAGCTGAAGAAAACAAGCAAAGATATGGTTCTAACAGTCTTCATTATTTCAGATGAATCTTTATAGAGTACGTTCTATCATTTGAATTGAATAATCCTTTTATATTCTTTCCAAGTAATTGCTATTAATAATTAACGTTTTTCTGGTGAATGTTTTTCCACCTTGGCCACTATGACCCTCAAACAATTACAGAAATTCATGACAATGAAGAAATATTTCTCATGGCATTCATTAACGAATACTGGATTTTAAAACGAGTCATGTCGGGGAGGAGTTTCAAGATGGCGGAAGAGTGAGACGCTGAGATCACCTTCCTCCCCACAGATACACCAGAAATACACCTACACGTGGAACAACTCCTACAGAACACCTACTGAACGCTGGCAGAAGACCTCAGACCTCCCAAAAGGAAAGGAACTCCCCCACATACCTGCGTAGGGCAAAAGAAAAAAGAATAAACAGAGACAAAGCATAGGGACGGGACCCGCACCAGTGGGAGGGAGCTGTGAAGGAGGAAAGGTTTCCACACACTAGGAAGCCCCTTCACTGGTGGAGACTGTGGGTGGCGGAGCGGGGAGCTTCGGAGCCGCGGAGGAGAGCGCAGCAACACGGGCGCGGAGGGCAAAGCGGGGAGATTCCCGCACAGAGGATCGGGGCCGACCGGCACTCACCAGCCCGAGAGGCTTGTGTGCTCGCCCGCCGGGGCGGGCGGGGCTGGGAGCTGAGGCTCGGGCTTCAGAGGTCGGATTGCAGGGAGAGGTCTGTGGTTGGCGGCGTGAACACAGCCTGAAGGGGGCTAGTGCGCCACAGCTAGCCGGGAGGGAGTTCGGGATAAAGTCTGGAGCTGCCGAAGAGGCAGCTTGCCTCTTGCCTCTTTGTTTCCTGTTGGGCGAGGAGAGGAGATTAACATCGCCGCTTAAAGGAGCTCCAGAGGCGGGGGCAGACGGTCATGAGACACTAAGGCTGCTGCTGCCGCCACCAAGAAGCCTGTGTGCGAGCACAGGTCACTCTCCACACCTCCCCTCCCGGGAGCCTGTACAGCCCGCCACCGCCCAGGGTCCCGTGATCCAGGGACAACCTTCCCACGAGAACGCACGGTGCGCCTCAGGCTGGTGCAATGTCCCGCCGGCCTCTGCCGATGCAGGCTTGCCCCGAACTCTGTACCCCTTCCTCCCCACCGGCTTAAGTGAGTCAGAGCCCCTGAAGCAGCTGCTCCTTTAACCCCGTCCTGTCTGAGCGAAGAACAGGTGCCCTCAGGCGACCTACACGCAGAGGCGGAGCCAAACCCAGAGCTGAACCCCGGGAACTGTGGGAACAAAGGAGAGAAAGGGAAATCTCTCCCAGCAGCCTCAGGAGCAGCGGATTAAATCTCCACAATCAACTTGATGTACCCTGCATCTGTGGAATACCTGAATAGACAAGAAATCATCCCAAATTGAGGAGGTGGACTTTGGGAGCAACGATATATATATATTTTTCCCCTTTTTCTCTTTTTGTGAGCATGCATGTGTATGCTTCTGTGTGTGATTTTGTCTATATAACTTTGCTTTTAACATTTGTCCTAGGGTTCTGTTTTTTTTTAATTTTTTTTATTATTTAAAAAATTTTTTTTCTACAAAAAAATTTTTTTCTTAATAAAATTATATTTTATTTTACTAACTTTATTTTATTTTATTTTGTCTTCTTCTTTCTTTCTTTCTTTCTTTTTTCTCCCTTTTATTCTGAGCCGTGTGGATGACAGTCTCTTGGTGCTCCAGCCAGGAGTCTGTGCTGTGCCTCTGAGGTGGGAGACCCAACTTCAGGACACTGGACCACAAGAGACCTCCCAGCTCCATGTAATATCAAATGGCAAAAATCTCCCAGAGATTTCCATCTCAACACCAAGACCCAGCTCCACTCAACGACCAGCAAGCTACAGTGCTGGACACCCTATGCTAAACAACTAGCAAGACAGGAACACAACCCCATCCATTAGCACAGAGGCTGCCTAAAATCATAATAAACCCACAGACACCCCAAAACACACCACCAGACATGTACCTTCCCACCAGAAAGACAAGATCCAGGCTCATCCACCAGAACACAGGCACTAGTCCCCTCCATCAGGAAGCCTACACAACCCACTGAACCAACCTTAGCCACTGGGGACAGACACCAAAAACAACAGGTACTACAAACCTGCAGCCTGCAAAAAGGAGACACCAAACACAGTAAGTTAAGCAAAATGAGAAGACAGAGAAACACACAGCTGATGAAGGAGCAAAGCGAAAACCCACCAGACCTAACAAATGAAGAGAAAATAGGCAGTCTACCTGAAAAAGAATTCAGAACAATGATGGTAAAGATGATCCAATATCTTGGATATAGAATGGAGAAAATACAAGAAACGTTTAACAAGGACCTAGAAGAACTAAAGAGCAAACAAACAGTGATGAACAACACAATAAATGAAATTAAAAATTCTTTAGAAGGGATCAATAGTAGAATAACTGAGGCAGAAGAACGGATAAGTGACCTGGAAGATAAAATAATGAAAATAACTACTGCAGAGCAGAATAAAGAAAAAAGAATGAAAAAAATTGAGGACAGTCTCAGAGACTTCTGGGACAACATTAAACACACCAACATTCGAATTATAGGGGTCCCAGAAGAAGAAGAGAAAAAGAAGGGGACTGAGAAAATATTTGAAGAGATTATAGTTGAAAACTTCCTAAATATGGGAAAGAAAATAGTCAATCAAGTCCAGGAAGAGCAGAGAGTCCCATACAGGATAAATCCAAGGAGAAACATGCCATGATACATATTAATCAAACTATCAAAAATTAAATACAGGGCTTCCCTGGTGGCGCAGTGCTTGAGAGTCCGCCTGCCGATGCAGGAGACG